GGCGAGGAGAACCTGCCGCTGCGCTGCGCCTGGTCTGGGCTGGCCTGCTGGCCTGCTGGCCTGGGCCCGTCTCCCCCACGCTGGCGGCGACGTGGCAAGCGGCCGGCCTGGCCTGGCTAGGCGTCTTGGCCGTTGTATTCGACCGGGCCTTTTTTCCTATTGGCCCAGTTGTATCCGCCGCCCCAACTCTGTATTGCCGCATCCCCGCGCTGGCTTCCTCGTCGGGCGCCCGTCCGCTGGCCTGGCCTAGCCTGGCCTGGCCTGGCTTGGCTAGACGTGGCCGTGCACCCGACACCCTGTCGCCGGGCCTGTTCGTCGTCGCTCTGGCCGTACGACCGAGTGTACTCTGAGATGCGGACGTCGACGAGCAGAGGCCGTGTCCTGGCCAGAGCAAGCCATGCCAGGCCAAGGTTGGTCTGGTCAGTTGACCGTGCCGGCGTTTGGCCAGGCCAAGCCAGGCCTGGCTAAGACGGCGTAGAGAGGCAGGCAGCGCTGCCGGCGTGGCGGACGTGCGCTGGCACCGAGCCGCGCTTGGCCTGGCCTGGCCTGGCCTGGCCAAGCCGCGCCTCGCCTACCTCTACCTGTCTGGCCCACCTCTTCTCGCGCGGCAAGTTGGAATCTCCAAACCTCGAGGTCTCGGCCTGGCCAGCCGGAACACCTGGGAGCCAACTCCCGGGTTCCGCGACTGGGCCCAGCCGAGCGGTGATCACAACTTTTTCCCCAGCCCGCCCCAAACCCCCCTCTCGCTCTGGCTTTCGGTCGGAGCAGCCATCTCCACCTCCTGCTCGCCATCACCACCGCCACGATCCTCAGCGCCGCCATCCACCTCTTCTCGTCTTCGCCGCATCCGAGTCCATCATAAAGCCGTTCCGCAAAGGCGCGCGCGGATAGTGGACGTCTCGCACCTCTCCCCGTTCCTCACCTCAAAGACACACCTCCCCGACCCGCCTCGGCACAATGGTAAGTCCACTTTGCCTCGCTCTCGCTCTCGTTCTCTCCTCCCCTCTCCGTCCCGCCCTCCCTGACCCCATCCTCTTCTCTCTTCCTGCTCTTCTCTCTCCACCCTCCACCCCGCCAGATCATCCCCGTGCGCTGCTTTTCGTGCGGCAAGGTCATCGGCGACAAGTGGAACGCCTACCTCGCCCTCCTCCTCGACGGCCGCACAGAGGGAGAGGCCCTTACGGAGCTCCAGCTCAAGCGATACTGCTGCAGGCGCATGGTCCTCACCCACGTCGACCTCATCGAAAAGCTCCTCCACTACAACAGTGCGTCCCAGTCCCCCCTCCCCCTCCTGGTTCCCTCGATGGCGTCGAGGATGGCTACTCACCTCTCCTCCCCTTCCCGCCCTTTCTCTCTCTGTTTGTCCGCGCAGTTCACGAACGGAGGAGCCAGGCATGACCGCCTCGTCCACCGCCACGCTCCACGCTCCAAGCTCCAACCCTGTACTATAGCCTCCCAACCTCAGCAACTTGTCAGATCCTCCTCCTACCTCGTCCCTCTCTAGTCCCCGGATCCAAGAGGGGACCCAGCGTCCGGCGACTGACCGTGGCCGGCGCATCTTTGAGGGCGATGCGCCGGCCCTGTCTGCTGTACAAATACATTGCGCCCGATCGAGGCAGGCCTGTACCGAGGATAGCGGGTAAGACGGAGGGGTCAAGGCGGGCGATAGACATAGGAAGCAGCCACGCGCAAGGGCGGGCGGGCGAGCAGGGCCCTCGAGCCAGTCGCTTTCATTGCACTGTCGGGCGAGACACAGCCACGACGGCCAGGGCAAACGGGCGCGGGCGGGGACGGGAGCGAAAAAGGAGCGAGGACGACGATCGTCAGCGATCGATGGTACAGAGTAAAGGGAGGCAGCGGCGCGGCGTCATATGCGCAAGGGGACCGGGGGCTCGACTCACGATAGAGCGTCTGGACGTCGCTGACGGCAAACGGAATGGCGCAGTGCGGGCACTTGCGTTGCCTCGTCTGGATGCGCGAGTCGACGCATTCCTGACAGAAGGTGTGGAAGCACTTGGTAATCAGCCGCGACCGCCAGCTCTCCTGGCACGTCGAGCACATGAGCATTTGCTGCGGTGGCGGCGGCAGTGGCGACGGAGGGCAACGGTTGTGACAGGATGGGACGGGGGAAAAGGGCGGTCAGCGGGTCGACGTCGATCACAGCCCGGAGTCCGTACCGTGCACCTGCAGAGCCAACTCACGAAAGCCGCCTCCTTGGCCTCCTCGTCCGGATCCATGCCCTTGCGGCCCACCTTGCCGCCGCCACCACTCGAACCGGCAGCGGCGACGGCGCGGGCCGCCTTCCTCTGTGCTCGTTCCAGGTCCTTTTCCAGGCGTGCCACCTGCTCCTCGAGCCGCCTCCTTGCGTTCCGCTCGTCGGTCGCCGCGTCGATGAGCTCCTTCGCAGAGCCCTCGGCCTCGGCCTTGACGCGTTCGACCTCGGCCAGCCGCGCCCGAGACGCCTCGAGCTCGGCCTCGAGCGTCGCGATGCGCTTGACGTGCTCCTGCATCGCCCGCTTGAACAGCGTCACCTCGCGCTCGTGCGCCTGCAGCTGCCCCGCAAACGTCTTTTCGTTTTCCGTCAGCAGCTCGACCAGCTTCGTCTGCCGCTCGACGTTGCGCAGCGCAGCGCGGTTCTCGACCTCGAGGCTCTCTTTGATCCGCATCGTTCCGAAGAACTTCTGGTCCGCCTTGGACTTCTGTGGTGCGGCGGCGGCGGTCGAGTATCGGAGAATGGGGCAGCGCAGGGAGATCGTCACTGTCAGTATGGTGCCATGGCAGTCTGCCTCCGCAACAGCTCCCAACGGCAAGCGGCGGCTACCCACCTCGGTCGTCAGCCGCAGCATCTTGTTCTCCATCTTGCTGAGGTCCAGCACCTGGTTGCTGACCTTCTTCTCGAGGTCGCTGTAGGCCGTGCTGAGGCGGTCAATCTCGTCGTAGAGCGCCGTCGAAGAGTCGCCGGCAGCGCGCAGCTCGAGCTTGAGCCGCTCGACCTCGACCTGGAGCTGCTCGGTCGACTGCGGCGGTGCGGCGCTGTCGGCGCCGTTGGTCTCGGCCTGCCCGGACTCTGCGAGCCTCCGACGCAGCTGTTCGACCTCGGCCTGGGCGGCCTTGGCGGCGCTGGCGAGCTTGTCGAGCTGGTCGGCCTCGTCCGCCCCGGTCGATAGCGCCTCGACGGCCGCCTGTTCGCCGCGCGATGCGGCAATCGTGATCCGCAGCCGCTTGACGTAGCCCGTCAGCACCGCCAGCCGCTCCTCCTTGACGCCCACGAGCGCCTTCATTTCGTCGATCTGGTTGAACTTGACCTGCTCGCGATGCCGCCGCTCCGTGAGCTCGGCATTGAGCTCGTCGCGCTGCCGCCGCAGTCGGGTCACATCAGAGTCGCGGCTCTTGACCGTCTTTTCCAGCGCCGCGATGCGCTCGTTGAGCTCCGTCTAGGAGGGAAGGGAACAGAAGTTGGGGGTGGGGCGAGCGGGCGAGGTGGTCAGTCGAGCTGCGGCGTGCGTGGCTTTTCCATCGCCACGCGATTCGAAGGCAGGGCCGCTTGCACGTGCACTCACCCCGCTGGCCTTGGCGAGGCTGGCTTGCTCCTCGCGCAGCTCGGCATTCTCGGTTTCGAGGCTGACAAGGCGTTCCTCGGTCGCTGCGAGCTCGCGCTGCGCCTGTGCGAGCTTGGCACGCAGCTCCTGGCACACCGCAGAAGCCTCGACCCGTTCCGCCGGGATGTTTTGAGACTGCGGCGAGGGCGAGTACCGAGGATGGGCAGTGCGCTTGACGTCAGTGATGGTCTGTCTTCTCAGGCCTCGATGTGCCGATGACGGTTTATTCTGCTCACCTGCTCCTTGAGCTGGTGCACGCTCAGCTTGAGCTCCTTGATCTCCTCGTTGAGGCCCTGGATCTCGGCGAAGCGGGCGTCGCTCTCCCGCTCGGCGACGACGAGGCTATCCTGAGCTTGGGACAGCTGGTCGCGGAGCTCGACGATGGCCTGCGCGTCGGCGGGCGGGTGCGAGGGTGCTGCTGGGCTATCCGCTTCTTGCTTGACCACCACGGTCGAGCCACTCGCTGGCGCTGGCGCTGGCGCGGACGCGGGCGTCGGTGTCGACCCGGCGGCCTTTGGGGCGTCTGGCTGTGCGCTCGGAGACTTGCGCCCCTCTATGACGCGGACCACTTCGCTCTGCGATCTGACAAACTCCTTTTCTAGCCTCGAGAGCTTCGAGGTGCTCTCGCGGAGCGCCTTTTCGCTGCGCTCGAGCTTCGACTGGGAGAGGAAGAGGTCGCGCTTGTAGGCGGCCGACTGCTCGGCCAGCTCGTCGCAGCGCCTTTGCAGCTGTGCGACGTCGGGCGCAGCAGCAGCAGCCGCTGACCCGCCTGGTCCGGAAGAGACAAACGAGGCGATGGCGTCGAGCTGGCCCTCTAGCAGCTGTTGGAGGGCGTCGGCGGAGAGCTCGGGGTCGATCGGAACGAGCCGCTGACGGTGTTCTGGCGGTATCCGGGAGACGACGCGCTCCACAAGCTGGTCCCAGAAGAGCCGCAGATGAGAGGACGAGCGTTGTGCCCGGTCTACATCGCCCTCGGCAGCCTTTAGGCGGCGATTGGATCGCGACAGCTTCCGCCGGCTATCGAGCAGCTGCCGATAGATGGCCTCCTTGCGATACGCCTGCAATGCGGATGAGCGGGAACGGCGGGGCAGGGCGTCATGAGGTCAGCGGTGGCAAGGGCGATGGGCGACGTCGCCGGGGCCGAAGCCGGCGAGACGGTGATGCTAGACTGACCTCGAGCTCCTTGTAGTTTGGCCATAGGTTTTCGGACTCGTCCTCGCCGTCATCTTCGTCGCCGCCGTCTCCAGCCCTGCCGGTGGCCGGGCTGCTGCTGGACTGGAGTCGTTTCCGCGGCCCGTCGTCAGTGGCTGAGAGGTGGTTGATTGACCTCTTGCGAGCATCGGTGGCCTGTGACGCCATGGTGGCGGGTGGCCGAATCCACTGGGGGGCCGAGCTGGGTGGGATGGAGCCGTAAACGTGCGACGACGGTCCGAGACCCAGAAGCAAGGGGAAGAGTACAGGGAAGAGTGGGGCTACCGAAGGTCGAGATGGGCTAATCGCTCGACGAGGTGGCTCGGTCGGGGCCGGGAAAGGACGAGGGGGTCGTGGTGCGGGTTCTATGGGGGGCTGCGCAGCGCAGTCGGGGGCGAGCTAGAGAGATGGTGGATCCGGGTCGGATGCGTGCGAGACGATGCTGATTGGTGGTATGGCGACGATGGGATGCAGGTGGGGATAAGATGGTGGGCAGAGAGGGTGAGATGAAGAGACGAGAGAGAGGAGAGAGAGGAGAGAGGGCGCGCCATCTCCAAATGTCGAAATCGGCGGAGGCGGCGGCGGGGGCGGCAAAGGCACCTCGCCAGTGTCCGCCACGCCCGCCCCGATCACCCTCCTGACTGTCCAGACAGACGGCGGCCACCGACGATGCCTCTTCGGTTGCTGCCTCGCCGCTTCCTTCTCACCTCCATCCTTTCCACCGCGACCGCGCTCCCGCCCGCTCTTTGGCACCATCGTCTATCCCTGACTGTGCTCGGGACGCCGCTCGCCATGTCACAGGCGCCACCCCTCGCACGCTCAGCCCTCGCACGCCTCTCCAACTCACCGTCCCGGCTCGCCGCCAGCCTCAACCGCGCCCCCTCCAACAGCAGCCGGACAGGCCCTTCCGGTGGCCAGGCTAGCTGGCAGCGCAGCCAGCACAGCAAGCACAGCCCTCGCCAGCTTTACACTCGCCCCAGCCATGCTCGATCCCCCGCCCCTCGTTCCCGTGCCTCGACTTCGACCAACCCCCTCCGAGCGCCGACTGCATCCCCTCGACGCACCCTGGCAACCATCGTCCCAACTCAGCAGCACCCAGTCGACTCGATCTCGCCTGCGCCCGCGTTAGAGGGCCGCCTCGCACAGCTGCACGCTCTCCAGCGCCTCTTTGACTCCGACAGCGGCATCGACAGCGCCCTCTGGCGCTCCCGCCTCGCCAGGACCATCCAATCCCTCCAGCAGCACTCCACCCCCGGTACCACCCCGGCTCCTCTCCGCGTACTCATCGCAGGCTCCAGCCTCAGCCGCACAGCCGATGTCGTCGTCTCCCTCTTCGACGAGCCGCTGCGAGAGCAGGCCGCAGCTGGCCGCACAGACCTCGAAGTTCTTCGCCGTGCCCTCTCCCAACCCGGATCCACAGATTCGCCTCGACGCTTCACTGTCCAGCACGGCTTCGGCCCAGCGCAGTGGTCCGAGGGCCAACGCAACGTTTCGATCGACCGAAACTGGCTCCTCGACGCCAACATCCAGCTCACCGTCATCCTCGATCCCACCGCCGACGCAGCAGTGCACGAGGCCGTGTACGACAGCGACATCGCCCTCTTTGTGACCGACTCGTACGCCCTCGAGCAGGCCCTCGTCCAAGCCAGCAGCGGCCCGTCCTCGAACAGCCCGCGAAGCCCCGCCACGCTCGACCTGGCCTCGCAGTTTGCCTCGAAACCCAACGTCCATGTCATCGTCAATCAGCTCACCGATCTCGCGCCCCAGCAGCACCTCGCCGCCCTCGAGGCCGCCATCGGCCCTGCCGCGGTCGAGCAGCTTGCCCAGTCATCTTCGTCCGCGCCGCTGCTCGCCGTCTCCGCTGCCGATGCCATCGCGGCCAATGCCGCTCTCAGGCAGGCCCTGACCGGGCCCGATGTCGAATCCTCGTCGCGCCTCTGGGATGAGTTCAGCGGCCGCTTCACCGCGTCCAAGGTGGCCGACGTCCATCGCCTCATCCAGGGCGGTCCGGGCGGGCGAGCGGTGGGCAACAGCCTTGCTCTCGTCTCGCAATCGGCCCAGGTGGTCATCGATCACTGCATCAGCGACGTAGTGTCGTTCTGCGCATCGGCGTCGGCTTCCTTCGAGCGCCTGCTTGCCGTCTCCGCAGCGCTGCAGTCAGAGGACGCTGGGATCCAGCGGGAAGCCCACGACCGGGTCTGGCCTTCCATGTCGACCACTGCCACGAAGCGACGGGGAGCGCTTTCTGGCAAGGTCAAGAGCTGGTCGCCGACCGGGCCCGGCTCGGCCAGCGCGATCGACGAGGCGCTCGCCGAGACGGCCGACTCGATCGCGTCCACCATGGAACGCCGGCTGCAGTGGTGGAAGCTGGTGTGGAAGGTGGACGACATCCGAGCCGAGCTCGAAGGCGTGTGCGCCGGGTTCGCCGCCTCGCTCGAGTCCGTGCTGGCCTACGAGTCGGGGCGTCTTGCCGCGCTCCAGGTGCAGCAGGCCGACCGCGCCGAACGCGCGCTGACGGAGCTGAGGTCCGTCGCCGCCAGGCTCGA